CCAGTTTGGGAACCACTGATCTAGGGTAAACCAGGGCGCTTACAACATAGCATGCCTCTAATAAAGAACGTTTTGCTCAAGGGTCGTCTTTCTTCACATTGTGACTAAAAAACTCACCACGAAACGAAATGTTGTATAATGAAGGGCATTTTGCCCTCTCGTTAAAAGTTAGTAAGTTTTCTAACGACTTAAAACGTCGGAAACATTTCGTTCCAGGGCTGACTTAGTTGGTGATTTAGTTAACAGGACCGACAGTTAATGAGCCCGGATACGTGAGTTAACACTAGTAGGACTGGAGAACCAGTAACAGCAATAGAAACAACAGCAATAGCAACAACAGCAATAGCAACAACAGCAATAGCAACAACAACAATAGCAACAACAGCAATAGCAACAACAGCAATAGCAACAACAACAATAGCAACAACAGCAATAGCAACAACAGCAATAGCAGCAACAGCAATAGCAGCCGCAACAGTAATGGTGATGAGTAAGACACAAGCAAAACATTTGGGTACCTTTACTGTTGAAATGTTTCGCCTACACAATAGGCTTCCTCAGTTAAATACACAGGTGTAGAAGCGAAGCAAAGATGATGTAATCAGTCCATCAACCTTGGAGATATAGTATTTGAGGGGGTCAGTCCCTTAACCTGAAGAACTGTTCAGTTCCATAGTCTTGGAACGATGTTTTACACCATTGTCAACAATAATGGTCGCTTAGCACCGAGGAAGCTACGATCTTCCATGGAATGGCCAACAAAGTTATATTCATCGTTAATGAACTAGATGGAACAAATAGATGTCTAGAAGGAGCATCCTCAAAGGTTAAAGTTCATAGATTGCACAGTCTGTTGACCTTGTGCTAGGGAAGATTGTTACCACCTGTGTTTGACAATTACCACCACCTGATGTGAACAAAATATTTCACCCCACTACGACCATCCCTTCCAGTCTTCGTTCCCTCCTCTGCTAATCGAGTTGTGTTTGTGTTCTAAAAAGTGTAGATTTTTCTGTATCCCTGAGAACGCTTGCATAGCTATACATCGTTTTTATTAGATTTTATACTCCCTCTATTATTTTATGTAAAAATTTCATTTTTATATACCAGATACACCGACAACATACTGACCACCGCGTCAGTATGTTGTCATAAGAACACGATTGCAAACAAATTACAGAACTGGTGGGGTTTGAACCCATGGTTAGTGAATCTTAAAAATAGCAGGTTAATCAGGGAGTACGCCGAGTGGTTAGCGCACTGGCCTGCGAGTTTTAGGACTCACCTGCTATAGGTTCGATCCCCACCCGTTCTGTAATTTACTTCATGATCCTCTTGTTTATGATCCATGTGAAACGAACTTTAACCGAGAAAATTGAGCACTTCATCAACCTGTGAACTTTGAAAGAGTAGCGTCCTTGGTGTCGGGCCGACTAAAACATGTTTACAAGCTAGAGTGGTACCTAGAGTCTAGCAAGTAAACAAAGGTTATGAGTAGTGTATTTTACACTAAATTCTATGGTAATCTCAGCAACATCTCCAGTAACCTGACATGTTCTATCAGATGTTGGTTCGGCGCAGGTGCTGCGTACTTCGAGATATTACTGACGCATGTCGTGAATAGTCATGAGTGACTCTTTACAGCTTTCTAAAAGCTTCTCTCAGAGTCGTCAGTCTCGCAGTTACTCCGGAAGTTATTCGACTATTTTGTTTGTACGTAGATTCTACTTGAGTAAGGTATGAACCGTTTGTTCCTCAGTTTGTACTTCATTTCCAGTATTTGTTCATTCCTCAGTTTTTAAAACCTTGCACTTGCGTGCGTTGAACTGCAGTAGCAACTTGTCTTACCAACGCTGCAGTTTGTCCAGGTGGCCTGTGTGGCCTCTTTATGAGATATATTCCAGTGAGGGCAGGCTAATCTACATACATTGTTCCAGGGATGCTTTCACATATTATTTTACTGAAAATTCACGTCTTAAATATCTTACCGCAGTTTACCGGTAAGAACCCAGAACCTTCTGCTTTTCTATCATTAACTCGTGCACATAGATAATCCACGATACTCCTTTATGTAGATAAAAATAGACACTTCTGAGCAATCAGCACACATCGTCTCGGTGTGGACTTCCAAGTACTGTGAAGTCACTGCTGTAAATGGGTGTTTAAAACGTCTCCTGGCTCGCCTTACTACCTCGTATGACTGCACACCTTATTGACTAACGTTGTTAAGATGTGCGGGAACCGAGGCATAACCGCAGTTTGGGGCTACCCTTCTCTGTATGATAGTTACACTGTGACACCAAAAGCTGGCTATGGTTTCCCTGTCATGTTCCTTCACACAAGGTGGGTTGCACCAGACAATGAAACGTGGGAGACCTAGGTGAAGCAATGAGGATATCTTGAATCATATAAATCACAGAACAGGTGGGGGCGAGAACCCATGGTATGTGAGTCCTCATGGGTGGGGATCGAACCCATGGGTTCGATCCCCACCCATTCTGAGATTTGTTTGGAGTCGTGTTATTACGATTTCGTGAGTCTTGAAGCATATGGGTCGAGTAGCGATGGGGGGGTTAAAAGAATTTCATTCTTGCAGAGTTGGAGGTGCTGTGGGCACTACCGTCTCCCAGAACGACCTCTCGCAAAAACTACACATTACTCACATGCACATGGAATTTTATTATACATTTTGTACATAACTCCATGGGGAAGTGGAAAAGAATTCTTCCTCCGTAAGCCATGCGCGTCGTAAGAGGCCACTAAAATGCCGGGAGCAAGGAGCTAGTAACCCCTTCTCCTGTATAAATTACTAAATTTAAAAAGAAAAACTTTCGTTTTTCTTTTTTGAGTTACCCTGCCTCGGTGGGATGCGGCAGGTTTGTTGAAAAAAGATTTTGTGCGTAAGTACTTGATGTGACGTGCAATTGTACGTTTTGTAATAAAGCCCTCACTATAGGCGATGAAGCCCCACTGTGGGTGATGATCCCAACTATGGGTGACGTAGCCCCACCGTGGGTAATAGGTAGCCTTTGCCTCGTCATCCACCTGTTCATTACCTGGGACACCAACATGGTATGGGTACCAACATGGCCCGGGTACCAATATGGCCCGGGCATCAGCAGAACAACACTCAGGGGGACATAGTTTCACTGTGGATAAAACCCAACTGTGACGAAAGCCCCCACTGTTGAAACCATGTGGGTGAAATTCCACTGTGAGCGATGACCCCCCATTGTACAGTAAAGAAAGAAGTCCCTTGAGGGTTATGAAGCCCCCACTGTGGGTGAAGCCCTACTATGGGTTATGAAGCCCCCGCTATGGGTCAGGAAGCCCTCACTAAGGGTTATGAAGCCCTCACTATGGGTTATGAAGCCCCCACTGTGGGTGAAGTCCCACTATGGGTTATGAAGCCCCCGGTATGGGTTATGAAGCCCCCACTATGGTTTATGAAGCCCTCACTATGAGTTATGAAGCCCTCACTATGGGTTTTGAAGCCCCCACTATGGGTTATGAAGCCCCCACTGTGGGTGAAGCCCCACTATGGGTTACGAAGCCCCCACTATGGGTTATGAAGCCCCCACAGTGGGTGAAGCCCCACTATGGGTTATGAAGCCCCCACTATGGGTTATGAAGCCCCCATTGTGGGTGAAGCCCCACTATGGGTTATGAATCCCCACTATGAGTTATGAAGCCCTCACTATGGGTTATGAAGCCCTCATTGTGGGTAAAGCTCCCACTAAATGAAGCTCCCACTGTAGGTGATGATCCCACTGTGAGTGAAGCTCCCACTTTGTGTGAAGCTCCCACTGTCGGTGAAGTTCCCACTGTGCGTTAAGCTCCCACTGTGAAGCTCCAACTGTGTGTGAAGCTCCCACTGAGTGAAGCTCCCACTGTAGGTGAAGCTCCCACTTACTGAAGCTCCCACTGTGGGTGAAATCCCTACTCTGGGTGTTACGGCCTGACTGTGGGTGAAGCCCCTGTGGTGGGTGAAGCCTCACTGTGGGTAAAGCTCCAGTGTTGAAGTTGAAGCCCCATAGTGGGTGATGAAGCCCCACTGTGGGTTATGAACCCCCACTGTGGGTGAATTACCACCGTGTACGTGTTGAAATGTATAAATGAAGGTATTACTGTACGTCTGTGTACGCAGTGTAGTGTACACTAATGCAACGTGAAACGTACATGTACGTACGTTTGGGCGAGCACCTGCACACAGGTCACTGATCAACAGCACAGGTGTAATATTATCACCTGTGTCCGTAGCATCTTAATGCACGGACATATACAGCGGTACATGGGGTAACTGTACAACAGATGCACGGTCAATGTGAGGACAGTGGAGGGTTCTTGATCCAAGGAGATGAAATAATCCCCTCCTTCATCAGACCAAAATATTACCTCCATTGCTACCAGGCGCTCTATAAATAATAATAATAATAATAATAATAATAATAATAATAATAATAATAATAATAATAATAATAATAATAATAATAATAATAATAATAATAATAATAATAATTGTAACAGCAGTAATAACAGTAAATAATAATAATTGTAAATGCGAGGTATGTGTCTTAAAAATATAATTCTTAAGAAGTCCAAGAAACTAGAGCGAATAGAGTGTAGTCTATCGTTAGTGTGTGAATTCTAAGAGTGCGTAGCAGCGCCAAGTTTGGTGCGTTAGTGCGGTAAGAGCAGCGTCTGCGTGTTGTGTGCTGCAGGAGGCAGCAGGCAGCACTCCGGCAGCGTCTCCAGCAGTGCTCAGGGCAGGCAGCTGCAGGATTGCACCCCGCGCACACAAAGCAAAACATTTAGACAAGTACTGCAAGGAAACGAAACGTCGGGGGGCGGCCTGGTCGGCTCCGCCCACCCGCCCGCCGACCAATGGGACCTCCGGAGCGGGCAGGGCCGACCAATGGGGCGTCGCAGCCGCCCTGGACACACACGGACGCACACATGGCTTGCACCCGCATATTACGTTTACACATTTTGTTAAAAGTTGTGTTTGTATTGCGTGTGTGTGTGTCTCTGTGCGGGTGTGCGCACCGGCTGATTGGTGAGCGACACTCTGTGACGACTGCCTGGCCGCGGCGCGCACCACTGCGCCGCCGACGCTCGCACCGCTTACACGTCCCCCTCACGCCGCCCGCTCCTGCCGGGACCTGGCCGCCCGCACCCGCCCACGCCGCCCGCCGCGCCCACCGCTATTGTTCTCGCCGCGGCAGCCGGAGACACTCGCGGGGGGGATTTTGAGAGATAATTCAGTGTTGGGAGCGGCCGTTTGTGCGAGTGCTCGTAGGAGGGTGCTATGGAGGACACCTCTATACCGGACGATTGTAGGAGTGTCCGTTCAGGGGGGTCAACCAGTGGACGCTCACCCCCGCCTCTGTCACCCGTCATCACCAGCATGGTCAACTGTCTGTCTCCCAGCAGCCCACCACCTCCCCTCATGGCAGCGCCGCCCCTCTCCGTCCCCGGACCTTCTCCTCCAGGAGTACACTCGCCGCCCATCTTCCCTTCCCCGCCACCCACTTCCCGCCCGCCGCCCTTCCTTCCCGCCCTATACTTCTCCCACGCCTACAACTCCCCCCCGCCCATCCACACGTCAGACCCAACAGCCAACGACTGCAAGTTGGTGGAGTACAGAGGGCAGAAGGTGGCGGCCTTCATTATAAACAACGAGTCAATGTTGTGCTTGCCTCAAGCCTTCGAACTTTTCCTGAAGAACCTGGTGGGCGGCCTGCACACCGTATACACCAAGCTCAAGCGCCTGGGGATAGAGCCTCTGGTGTGTAATGTGGAGCAGGTGCGAGTACTACGAGGCTTAGGAGCCATCCAGCCGGGTGTCAACAGGTGTAAGCTTCTAGCCGTCAAGCACTTTGACATCCTCTACAAGGACTGCACCACCGCCAGGTAAGATGCACTCAGATTTTTCTTATTTATTTTCTCCCTTGTGCACCGTCGCCCTGTTCATCTCCCTTACCTGTGTACCGTCGCCCTGTTCATTTCCTTTACCTATGTACCGCTGCCCTGTTCATCTCGATTACCTGTGTACCGCCGTGTTGTCTCCCTTACCTGTGTACCGTCGCCCTGTTCCTCTCCCTTACCTGTGTACCGTCGCCCTGTTCATCTCCCTTACCTGTGTACCGTTGCCCTGTTCATCTCCCTTACCTGTGTACCGTCGTGTTGTCTTCCTTACCTGTGTACCGTTGTCCTGTTCATCTCCCCTTACCTGTGTACCGTCGCCCTGTTCTTCTCCCTTACCTGTGTACATTCGCCTTGTTCATCTCCCTTACCTGTGTACCGTCGTGTTGTCTCCCTTGTGTACCGTCGTGTTGTCTTCCTTACTTGTGTACCTTTGTCTTGTCTATCGACGATACCCGTGTACCTTTGTCTTATCTATCTACAATACCTGTGCAATTTTGTCTATCGATGATACCTGTGTGCTTTCGTATATCTAGGATACCTCTGTACTTTAGTCTATCGACGATACCTGTGCACATCTAGTTTGTCTATCTGCGATACCTGAGTATCGCAGTCATGTCTTAATTCACATCATCGCGACGTTGTGTTGACGCTAAAGTAATGTACACACCCGGAGGCGCATCGTACAGCGCTCAAGCAACGTCGTAAAAGACGATACAACCTGACCCCCTTTGGGTAAATAACGTCTCCATGAATGTCTTACTAACGTCCTAATGACGCTGTCATAACAATGACGTAATGACGTAATCGTAGTGTTATGTATCCTTTGGTAAAGCCAATATTTGTTGACTCTCGTAGCGGAGGAGCGATGTGTTCGTTACCTTGATATAGCAGTGATGTTTTGTGTTTGTACCTTGATATAAGAGTGATGTGTGTTTGTACCTTGATATAGCAGTGATAATATGTGTCTGTACCTTGATATAGCAGGGATATTGTGTGTCTGTACCTTGATATAGCAGTGACATTGTGTTTGTATCTTGATATAACAGTGATATAGCAGGATATTGTGTGTCTGTATCTTCATATAGCAGTGATATTGTGTGTCTGTACCTAGATATAGCAGTGATATTGTGTGTTTGTATCTTGATATAGAAGTATTATTGTGTATTTGAACCTTGATATAACAGTGATATTGTGTGTTCCTTACTTTGATATAGCAGTGATATTGTGTGTCTGTACCTTGATATAGCAGTGATATTGTGTTTGTACCTTGATATAACAGTGATATTGTGTGACCCATACTTTGATATAGCAGTGATATTGTGTGTTAGTACCTTGATGTAGCAGTGATACTGTGTGTTCATTACCTTGATATAGCAGTGATATTGGGATTGTTCCCTGGTACTGCAGTTATACAGTGTGTCTTTATCTGATATAGCAGTGATATAGTGTATTCTCTGATATAGCAGTGATATAGTGTATTCTCTGATATAGAAGTGATATAGTGTGTTCTCTGTATAGCAGTGATATAGTGTGTTCTATGATATTGCAGTGATATAATGTGTTCTGATATAGCAGTGATATAACGTGTTTCCTGATATAGCAGTGATATAGTGTGTTTTCTGATATAACAGTGATATAGTGTGTTCCCTGATATAGCAGTGATATAGTGTCTCTGATATAGAAGTGATATAGTATGTTCCTGATATAGCAGTGATATAACGTGTTTCCTGATATAGCAGTGATATAGTGTATTTTCTGATATAGCAGTGATACAGTGTATTCCCTGATGTAGCAGTAGTATAATGTGTTTCCTGATATAGCAGTGTTATAGTGTATTCTCTGATATAGCAGTGATATAGTGTGTTACCTGAAATAGCAGTGATATAGTGTATTACCTGATATAGCAGTGATATAGTGTGTTCCCTGATGTAGCAGTAGTGTAATATGTTTCCTGATATAGCAGTTATATAGTGTATTACCTGATATAGCAGTGATATAGAGTGTGTTCGATGATATAACAGCTATATAGTGTTTCCTGATATAATGAGCAATATACTGTGTCCCCCCCCCACATAAAAAACTATAGCATGTTCCATTCATATAGCAGCTATATCGTGAAGTCCATTGCTCTTTGCTTAATATAGCAGCCAGAGAGCGTTCTCGTGGTGACAGCGGCGAGGTAGCGTGTTGTAGCTATCGTGAGGCCAGTGCTACGTTACCTCCTAGTAGCGATGCGCTCCTTTATTTTCATTGTAGAAGGAAGGTAGCGTAGCTTCTGTATTGTGGGGGGGGGAGAAGGTATTGTTGTTCGTCTATTGTAGCACCGAGATAGCGTACTGCGACTATTGTAGCACTGGGGTGGTGTTGTCATTGTAGCACTGGGATAGTGTTGTCATTGTAGCACTGGGGTAGTGTTGTCATTGTAGCACTGGGGTGGTGTTGTCATTGTAGCACTGGGATAGTGTTGTCATTGTAGCACTGGGGTGGTGTTGTCATTGTAGCACTGGGATAGTGTTGTCATTGTAGCACTGGGGTGTTGCCATTGTAGGACTGGGGTGTTGTCATTGTAGGACTGGGGTGTTGTCATTGTAGCACTGGGGTGTTGTCATTGTAGCACTGGGGTGTTGTCATTGTAGGACTGGGGTGTTGTCATTGTAGCACTGGGGTGTTGTCATTGTAGCACTGGGATAGTGTTGTCATTGTAGCACTGGGGTGTTGTCATTGTAGGACTGGGGTGTTGTCATTGTAGCACTGGGGTGTTGTCATTGTAGGACTGGGGTGTTGTCATTGTAGCACTGGGGTGTTGTCATTGTAGCACTGGGGTGTTGTCATTGTAGCACTGGGGTGTTGTCATTGTAGCACTGTGGTGTTGTCATTGTGGCACTGGGGTGTTGTCATTGTGGCACTGGGGTGATGTCATTGCAGCACTGGGGTGGTGTTGTCATTGTAACACTGGGGTGTTGTCATTGTGGCACTGGGGTGATGTCATTGTAGCACTGGGGTGTTGTCATTGTGGCACCGGGGTGATGTCATTGTAGCACTGGGGTAGGGTTGTCATTGTACCACTGGGGTGGTGTTGTCATTGTAGCACTGGGGTGTTGTCATTGTGGCACTGGGGTAATGTCATTGTAGCACTGGGGTGGGGTTGTCATTGTAGCACTGGGGTGGGGTTGTCATTGTAACACTGGGGTAGTGTTGTCATTGTAGCACTGGGGTGTTGTCATTGTAGCACTGGGGTGTTGTCATTGTAGCACTGGGGTGGTGTTGTCATTGTAGCACTGGGGTGTTGTCATTGTGGCACTGGGGTGGTGTTGTCATTGTAGCACTGGGGTGTTGTCATTGTGGCACTGGGGTGGTGTTGTCATTGTAGCACTGGGGTGTTGTCATTGTGGCACTGGGGTGGTGTCATTGTAGCACTGGGGTGTTGTCATTGTAGCACTGGGGTGGGGCTGTCATTGTAGCACTGGGGTGTTGTCATTGTGGCACTAGGGTGTTGTCACTGTAGCACTAGGGTGTTGTCACTGAAGCACTAGGGTGTTGTCATTGTAGCACTGGGGTGTTGTTATTGTGGCACTGGGGTGATGTCATTGTAGCACTGAGGTAGTTTTATCACTGTAGCACTGAGGTAGTTTTTCCACTATAGTACTGAGGTAGTTTTTCCACTATAGCACTGAGGTAGTTTTTCCACTATAGCACTGAGGTAGTTTTTCCACTATAGCACTGAGGTAGTTTTTCCACTATAGCACTGAGGTAGTTTTTCCACTATAGCACTGAGGTAGTTTTTCCACTATAGCACTGAGGTAGTTTTTCCATTTTAGCACTGAGGAAGTTTTTTTCACTGTAGCACTGAGGTAGTTTTCCACTGTAGCACTGAGGTAGTTTTTTCATTTTAGCACTGAGGTAGTTTTTTCACTGTAGCACTGAGGTAGTTTTTTCATTTTAGCACTGAGGTAGTTTTTTCACTGTAGCACTGAGGTAGTTTTTTCATTTTAGCACTGAGGTAGTTTTTTCACTGTAGCACTGAGGTAGTTTTTTCATTTTAGCACTGAGGTAGTTTTTTCACTGTAGCACTAAGGTAGTTTTTTCACTGTAGCACTGAGGTAATTTTTTCACTGTAGCACTGAGGTAATTTTTTCACTGTAACACTGAGGTAATTTTTTCACTGTAGCACTGAGGTAGTTTTTCACTGTAGCACTGAGGTAGTTTTTTCACTGTAGCACTGAGGTATTTTTTTCACTGTAGCACTGAGGTAGTTTTTTCACTTTAGCAATGAGGTAGTTTTTTCACTTTAGCACTGAGGTAGTTTTTCACTGTAGCACTGAGGTAGTTTTTTCACTGTAGCACTGAGGTATTTTTTTCACTGTAGCACTGAGATAGTTTTTCACTGTAGCACTGAGGTAGTTTTTTCACTGTAGCACTGAGGTAGTTTTTCACTGTAGCACTGAGGTAGTTTTTTCACTGTAGCACTGAGGTAATTTTTTCACTGTAGCACTGAGGTAGTTTTTTCACTGTAGCACTGAGGTAATTTTTTCACTGTAGCACTGAGGTAGTTTTTTCACTGTTATTTTTTTTTACATTGCAGAGAATTTTATTTACATAAGCTGGCAAATAGTTCAGTATTTGTACTACAGTTGATACAATGTATTGTGGAACAGTGCAACAGTGGAGCTGCTCAACAGTGGAGCTGTACAACAGTGGAGATGTACTACAGTGGAGCTGTACAACAGTGGAGCTGTACAACAATGCAGCTGCTCAACAATGGAGCTGTACAACAGTGGAGCTGTACAACAGTGCAGCTGCTCAACAGTGGAGCTGTACAACAGTGCAGCTGCTCAACAGTGGAGCTGTACAACAGTGGAGCTGCTCAACAGTGCAGCTGCTCAACAGCGAAGCTGTACAACAGTGGAGCTGCTCAACAGCGAAGCTGTACAACAGTGCAGCTGCTCAACAGCGAAGCTGTACAACAATGGAGCTGCTCAACAGTG